CTTTATGGTAGAGATCCTTTGGAATCCTTCCTTTTGGCCAAGAAAACTACTCATCGTTTAAACTTTAGTTCTAATGCTTAACATTTTCTTGAGTACTTGCAAGTTTTAATGTCACGATGTATTGTAATTTTTTTTTTTTTTTTGAGATGGTACTTCACTCTGTCGCCCAGGCTGGATGCAGTGGCGCGATCTTGGCCCGCTGCAACCTCTGCCTCCTGGGTTCAAGCAATTCTCCTGCCTCAGCCTCCTAAGTAGCTGGGATTACAGGTGCTCACCACCACGCCCAACTAATTTGTATTTTTAGTAGAGATTGGGTTTCACTTTGTTGGTCAGGCTGGTCTCGAACTCCTTACTTCATGATCTGCCTGCCTCGACCTCCCAAAGTTTTGGGATTACAGGCATGAGCCACTGTGCCCAGCCTGTATTGTCATTTTTCATTTGCAAACCTGTCTGTCCTGAGAGGCTATCTGCTTAGTCCATTGATGCTGACTGTTCAAACATTTTTTGGAATTCTTAAAATTGTATCCATAATGATGTTATGTTCTTTCGAATACTTTTGGGGATGTTACTGTGTTTTCTTGCTTATTTTCTGTCGTCTTACCTATAGTGAACTAGATATTTCTCCATTCTTTAGGCTTGTTTCTTTAGTTCATTTTGTACAGACTGAAGGAGAAATAATAAGCTCTTTTTGGTGATAGTATTTTTCAAGTTGAGTTAGTCATGGGATTTAAAATCAGGAATAGCTAAAGAGTGCAAAATGGTAGATGTTGTAGTTTCCATCCAAACAGATTTCTTCTGTGAATTATGGAAAATAGTAAATGATACAAGTGTAAGTGTCCACTGTTAGAGGAAAAGGAGAGTAGTTTGTAGATAACGCTCAGAATGAGTAGACAGAAAAAAACTGAGGAGACTAGGAGTAGGATGTCCAGATGTAATATATTAGTTACACCAGTTTTTTATGTTAGTAATTTGAGGAGAACACTTTAGAAGATGATAAAAAGTTGCAAACCATTTTTAAAAATCCATTGTTTAATATAAAAGTCTGAATAATTAAAGTTAATTTAATTTTCTGGAATAATGGTTAAGAATTTTTGCTTTGGCGTCAGGCCTGTGTACAAGTAGTTAAGTGTTCTTTAAAAACATTTGTAAATTTGCTTTAAAGACACTGATGCATGTTTAAAAAAATTCAAACTGATTCACAGGTTTTTTTAATTTCTTAGGTGTAGGTAATTGTGTTAAAATTTTGTGCCTTTTTACTTGAAATTATTGATATATTACCACACATATAAACATCTTTATTTACATAATTGGATTTAAACTATTGTTCTAGCCCACATCTTGCCTTTTTTTTTTTTTGTTTTTTGAATGGGAGTCGTCCCCTCTGTCACCAGGCTGGAGTGCAGTGGCACGATCTCCGCTCACTGCAACCTCCGCCTCCCGGGGTTCAAGTGATTCTCCTGCCTCAGCCTCCCAAATAACTGGGACTACAGGCGCCTGCCACCACGCCAGACTAACTTTTGTATTTTTAGTACTGACAGGGTTTCACCATGTTGGCCAGGATGGTCTTGTTCTCTTGACTCCATGATCCGCCCGCCTTGACCTCCCAAAGTGCTGGGATTACAGACGTGAGCCGCTGTGCCCAGCCCGTCTCTTGAGATATAATTTGACATAAAATAAACTACCCATATTAAATATACAATGTTTTGTCTCATACATACTCTTGTGAAACCATCACCACAATCAAGATAATGAACATCAGTCACTCCCCACAATATCATCTTGCACCTTTGTACTCCATCCCTTCTGCTTTTCTTTCCCCAAGCAACCACTGATCTGCTTTCTGTCACTGTAGATTAGTTCACACTTTTTAGAATTTTAGGTAAATGTAATCATGTGGTATGTACATTTTTGGCCTGTGTTAGTTCACTCAGAATTATTTTGAGATTCACCCATGTTGTGTTTCAATAGTCCATTCTCTTTTATTGCTTAGCAATATTACACTTAATGGCTATACAGCAATTTGTTAATCCATTCAAGTCTTGAGGGACAGTTGTTTTCTGTTTTGAGCTATACCTGTACAAGTCTTTGTATGGACATAGGCTTTCATTTCTCTTTGTCGGCGGGGCTATGATTGGAAAGTCTGGATCATGTGGTAGGCATATGTTTAACTTTTTAAGGAACTGCAAACTTTTAAAAAGTACTTCTACCATCTTACATTGCCATCAGCGGGGTATGAAATTTCCAGTCCCTCCACATCCTTTCTAATGCCTGTTATCTTGTCTTTTTGATTGCAGACATTCTAGTGTATATGAAGTGATATTTCATTGTGGTTTTAATTTGCATTCCTCTAATATCTATGATGTTGAACATCTTTTCATGTGCTTTTTGTCAACTGTTACCTTTGGTGAAGTGTGTGTTTATATCTTTTGCCCAATTTTTTATTTGGTTGTTTATTTTTAATTGAGTTTTGAGAGGTCTTCATTGTGGTTATAAGTCCTTTATCAGATATATGGCCTGCAAATCTTTTCTGCCACTCGTCTTCTCGTTCTCAGCATTGTCTTTTGACGAGCAACTGTTACTGATTCTTGTGGACTCCAGTTTACCAAGTTTTTCTTTTATGGATTGTGGTTTTGGGGTCTTGCCTGAGCCATTTTTGCCTAACTGTAAGCCATGAAGATTTTTTCCTTCTGTTTGTTAATAATAATAAAAATAATAATAATAATTTTTTTTAGAGACAGGGCCTGTCACCCAGGCTGAAGTGCAATGGTGCAATCGTAGCTCAGGATAATCTTCAACTCCTGGACACAAGGGCTCCTGCTTCAGCCTCCCAAGTAGCTAGTACTACAGGCACACAGCACCATGCTCAGCTAATTTTTAAATTTTTTATAGACCTGGTGTCTGTCTGTTTTGCCCAGGATGGTCTTGAACTCCTGGCCTCAAGCAGTCTCTGCCTCAGCCTTCCAAAGTGTTGGGATTAAAGGAATGAACCACTGCCCTTGGCCACCTTTTTTTCTAATAGAAGTTTTATACTTTGGTTTAACATTTAGGTCTCTTTCATTTTGACTTAATATTTTGAATATGGTACAACGTGTGGGTCAGAAGTATTTGGTTTTGCATGGGGACATCCAGTGTTTACAGCATTATTTGTTGAAAAGACTATCCTTTCTCCATTCACTTGGCTTTGCAGCTTCATGAAAAATCAGTTATCTCTGTATGTATGATTATATGTCTGTACTCTATTCTTTTGTATTGACCCATTTTCCTTTAGATGTTAGAAACATACTGTCTTAATCATTGTAGCTTTATATCAAGTCTTGAAACCACTTACTTAGTCTTGGCCCTCCAACTCTGTTCTTTTTCAAAGTTGTTTTTAACTCTTCTGAGTCCTTTGTGTTTTCATATGAGTCAGTTTTTACAAAAACTGCTTGGATTTTATCGGATTTGACTTGAATCTGTAGAGCAATTTGGGGAAAATTGTCATCTTAACAAGTGAGTCTTTCTAACCATGACTACAGTTGATGTCTCTATTG